TGGCATTCTCTCTTTTTGATTAATTTTTCCATACCACTTTTTTTTAGCCATCACCCGTAGCCCCATTACAAGCTAAATAAAGTCCAAGTTGATCTTAGCATGCATTCTTAGATTTGATCTAGGGGAGTATGAAGGGCAAGCCTATGGGATCTCATTCATGAGCCGTGTCTTGCATAATCTCAACTGAGTACCTGTGCACACTTGATCCTCACATACTTTAAATTCTTGGTGCTTAGTTATTGGCTTGAGAATGGGTCTTATGTGCCAAGCTAATTTGATTCTTGAACCTTGTTGTTTTGCAGTGAGTTGGTTGTTGGTTTGAAAGGTTGTGCAAGAGAGAGTAGGAGAAATTTGTATGTTTTGATTTGTGAGACACGTTAAGCCAATCAAGATCATAGATAGAGGACAAATAGGTTCACATGTATTTAAATATACATCTATAATAGTAATACTTATTTATAGGCATTAAGCTCACATGCAAGTGTAATTCATATACAAACACTTATGCAATTCATACTCAAATATACATACTTACTACACACTAACAAGATATGAAGTCAAGTTTGGCTTAATGGATCAAGGAATAAGTAGAGTGACATGCCATCAAAGGAGAAACCAAAACCAAGCAAAGAGGTAAAATATCACGTTATGCATAGTGTTGGAAATCGAGTGGTATGACAACTTAACAATAAATTATGAACCAATGGAAAACATGGTGAAACTAGTGCTAGGCATAAATTCAATATTACACACTCTTTTCAAGTAACATTCTGGGAATTTTCAACCGGATCTCATCACAACACTTTAACACACACTTCCGGGAATTCTCAACCGGATCTCATCACAACACTTTAACACACACTTCCGGGAATTTTCAACCGGATCTCATCACAACAATTTAACACACACTTTCAGCAATTCTCAATCGGATCTCATCACAACACGTTAACACACACTTCTGGGAATTCTCAACCGGATCTCATCACAACACTTTAACACACACTTCCGGGAATTCTCAACCGGATCTCATTTCATCACAACAGTTCAAATAACCTTCCGAGAATTCTCACCCGGATCTCATTTCAGCATTCTTTTCAAGTAACCAAAGATCAAGCACCTCCTCCAATATATAAAGATTTTCCTCACATCAAACATACAAGTGGCATACTACGCCTAAACGAAGTTTGAGAAAATATGGGATACATGATAGGCATGTGGGATATAAAATTTAGTAAAAATCAATGTGGATCATATGCAAAGTCTCATAACCAACACATAGGTAAATTATGCTTTAATTGAGGAAAATAATTTTGTACACGTAAGACGTACCACATAGCACTTTAGAACAAGTACCCGAGCCCTACGAGTAATAAACCGCCTAGGCCATGGGCTGGGCGGCGGGTCTCAAGAGAACCGCTGCACCAACCACGCATATAACACCCCGAAAATTTTAAAACTTTTCAATCTTATAATATGAAAGCAATTCCATTAAATAAATCCCAAATGGGGTATTCTAAACATAAGGTCTGGGGTGTTATGCCACATCTGAGCTGGAGAACTCAGATGCACAGGCTATTCTAACTAACTATCCTTTAAACATTCTCATTACATCATCAAGGCGCGCAGGCCGAAAGGAAAGACTAACTATCAAAGCCGAGGTCCTCTAGCGCGCTCCGGTAGCTAATCATCTATGCCTGAAAGCCAAATATATATGTTCAGCGAATGATGCTAGTAACCCACTCCAACGCGTTCAAATATACCTTTGTATTTATTTATTCACCATAAGTGTTTTTGAATAAACACTCTGTTTATAAAAAGGCAATAGTCAACTTAGAAACAAAATATTGGAAAAATATTTTGACTAGTTATTTATGAAATAGGATTAATTGGGAAGACGAATTTTTGGGTTGTTACATCGTGCTCCTAACTGCATGAATTTTTAATTAAGAATCATAGAAAATATTTTTAACAAATAATAATGCGATTAACTATAAACGATTACTTACAGCTGGTAATTCAGCAAAGAGTCCGGGGAACTAGCTTTTTCAATGTGAGATTGTGGCTCAACATCCACACATATGTTATCTTCCTACCTTGATTGTGCAGCTTGGTGAATATGAGTAACAAACTACTAAATTGCTTCATCATCTCAGCCATGGTTGCATGAAACTCGCCTTTTTGTTTCTTTAAAGCCACAATTAATGACAAAATGAGTCATTTAATTTGTTGAACTTCTTCTATAGACGTGTGGCTTTGGTGACGTTACGTTTTGCATGGCCAAAGATGATTTTTATGCTATATCTTCTTCCCATGCCTCTAACACGTCTGGGATAGTCATTTGTACCTAGCGCAACAGACAATATATCTTGTCTTCCTAACTCGACGTCGTCGACGAATTCTCTTTGAGAAGCTTGCAACCCGAGAGAATCCTAACTCACATAACAATATTTAATAATTTATTACAATTATATTTTATCCAATTTATTCAACATAACTATTAATGTAGAAAATTATAACATATTTACTTACAATTTTTTCCACGACCATTCTAGTCGCTTCGGTGGGGAAATTTAATTTCCGAACTTATTCATTTTTGCTTTTTCCACTTTTCATGTCTACGTATACGAGCTGGATGGGTAAATATATATGATTGATTTGAATTTAATTTGTAGCTTCTTGTTGTTCTTTCAACTTCTCTTCCATCATAATATTCTCCAACCTATTATAGCCTCCTTCAGATAAACCATGTGAATCGAGATCCTTAGCTTATATCTCTTTGATGTTTTTTTTTTTTTTTTCTTTTTGTCTACATAAAAAGAAAACATTAATTAGTAAAATATAATTAATATATTGAGTTAAAAATTGATAGAAAAATAATGATACCTCATATTATGGACATGTATGAAGCTCAACAAACTTTTCTCATGTCTCTTGGTCAAGATACGGGTATTTATCACATGGGTCCTTATTTGCGTTAGTACCCAATGTTGCAAAAATTGCGCCTAGGCGCCGCCCGGCCACGGGGAGGAAGGCCGGAATTGGCCTCCTCCGTGGCCAGGCGGCCGCCTAGCAGGCTGAACCGGCGATTTTTTATTTTTATTTTTTGAAAACAAGTTGTAGAAAGTGTGGCAAGGCATAACTTTTGACTCGGTTATCTGTTTTGGACAATTTTTTTTTTTAAAACTCGCGTATTTTTTTGAGATCTATGTGAAACAAACAGCCATAGGCAGTTTGGCCTACCAATTTCTCAAAATAGTGCGTCTTTTGGTGTTAATTTTAGTTTTTTTTATGTATTTAGATGGTTTCAACAATATTTTGAACCATTTTACAACCACTTACGTAAATAGTTTGTAAGAAAAAAGTAGAGGAACCCTATATTTTATTAGTGAATTTTTAAAATTATTAATTAATTTTTTATAAAAAAAAATTAAAAATAAAAAATAAAAATCGGGCACCTAACGTATTTTGCAACCTTGTTAGTACCGTATACATACGTGGTGGTCAATTTTGTTTTAAAGTCTTTTCACCTTTGACCCGCATATTTCACCCAACAGTCATTCATTTCGGTTTTGTTGGAAATATTATAAGTACTCTTCGAGACAAAATTATTTATCAATAAGAAATGCAATTATATATTTTTTATAAATCTAAATAATAAAAATAATTACGAGGATATCTTGCCAAATAAGGTCCTTAGTCTCTACTGGGACCTTAAGACATTGACTCTATTGTGATAAAAACTTTGCTCCGTCCCAACAGTGCAACATAACTTTTAAATGTGATGTTGTTTGACCCAACAGGATCCAATCCATCAAATTGAACTGTGTCTTTTTTCATATGAGTGACACCCCTCTTTTTGGCAGTAGTATTACTACATTGGATAGTATCAATACTGTAGGTTTTACGGCTAGCTTAAGGCAATCGGACAGCAGGCCAACACTAGCGTAAAAGTTCTAAGTGAACAAGAGAGTATTTGAGGAAAAAGTGGAATAGAGTAACAATGTATGCATTGAATCCAGAACCCTTTACAATCGGAAATTATGTCGTGCGACAGTGTGCACAATGCATGGTGCACACGGTTGCAAAAACGGCGTCGTTTTGATTAAAAACGACGCGTCCGACTTAAAAAAAAAAATCAGTTTCGATTGCCGTTAACGGCGTTGTGTTGTGCATAATTTGAACTATATATCCAGAATGAATGAACTATATATCCAGAATGAATGAACTATATAGTCTGGTCGGTCAAGGAAATTCATTATTGCCCAAGGAAAGAGTCTCCACTGAATCCGTCCTAACCGCCTTTGAGATACGCACTCGGTCAGGGACACCCCGACTGCCTAGTCTGGTCGCACAACCGAGCCGACTAAGGTGCCGAACGAGGGGTATGCATGCGGTCCTCACTACTAAGTTTACCAATCATAACCACCCGACTGCCCTGGGGCATACCGGACTGGGGTCCCCGATCAGGGGTATCCATCGAGCACATTGGGTTGTACTATCAACAGTAGGATCATTTGATGAATGCAAATGCATGTTTAGAAAGAAAAATTATTAGTAAATGAATATATACCCAGGTGCATAAATTAATTACCCACACATATTAAGCATAAACATAAGTATAATCCATGAATATCATAAACGAATGAGATAGAAAGAAGTAGAAACTTATCTATTACCCTGTAAAATGGAATGTGAAATGATGGAATCCAAACTTGAAAATATGAAAGGAAATGAATGAGAGGGTTCAACTATGGGTCAAAACCAAATAATAGATCACTTTCAATTTAGGCAGCACGAGGCATTGCCTATTGCCTCAATTCAATTCTGGTTGTCTTAGCCTTATCACTTTCAATAATAGATCACTTTCTTATGCATCAAGATCTAAGGATTCTACAGATCTAGTTCTTTTCCATTCAATTTCTCTCTATCTCCTAAGGTATTACTATACCATAATCATTTCTAAGGGAAATAATCTGAAGATCGATGGACAGAAATAAATGTTACAAGAAATCTCTGATGTTGTGCAAAATTAAAATTTTCTCGATCTGCTAATTAAAATAATGTGTTTGTATTTTTGTCAATAATTATCCTGGGGAGACAACCAAAAAGCTAAGGGAAACAAGTAACTGTACAATAAAACTCGATCTGATATGATCTTTTCTACAAAAATTTGTCTCCACTAATTAATCTAGCTAATTAAGCTGTTTGTAGTCTCGATCTCAAGATCTACTGGAGCTAGAGATGATGTCAAGAAACGTATCCTCCAAGCAAGGTATTGTGAGTCCACCCATTGGATGATCAAATCCGAATTCGTCCTCAGCTTGGCACAGCAAGTCTTGGAAAGAAGGGTCCTTCAAGTAGGAAACTGGAATGACAAAACGCTTCTTCTCGCTCTCACCAACATAAACTGCAAAGTGCCCCTTAGGAACCTCACTTTCTCTGTTTGTTCTTGAAGAAGACCTTCTGAGGCCCTGCTTAGCACGGAGAATGCGAGTCATACTAATCGCCATTATATTCTGGGATGTTTAATTTCTTCTTTAAGCAATTATTTGAGTGGGGTGAATACCAATTCAATTCGATCTATATGTGTTTATATAGATGGTTTGGGAGGTGGATTGAGTGGCTAATTTAAGAGAAATAATTTAGATGGATGGGCAGCCAGCTAGAAAGATAAGAAACATTACCACACATTTTTGTCATCATGAAATTATACATACAACTTTGTTGATAAAGACCTGCCTTTGAACATCATTCCCCACATGCATCAATGAAATTGAACATATAGAGAAAGCTCAACTACTTGTGTCATTCCAAGAAAACTAGCCAAATGAGAGAAGAAATTAAATGGAATTTGGCCATTTAATTTGGTAAGCATAACCATGTATGTGGTTCCTCATTTATATATATATATATATATATTTCTGGTTGAAGCTAAAAGGCCCCATACAACCATGTGGTTACGTTCCTCATCAGTGTCAATCATGTGGTTTTGCCTCCTCAACAGCTTAAAGACTGTCTTAGCCTCCTCATCACTTTAAATACATCACTTCCTTATAATTCATCAAACACTGAAATTCAATTCATTCAATTCTACCCAATTTCCAAGCTTTCTACAAAATTAAATCTTATTCGATCTCTTCCATTCAATCTCTCTGATCGATCTCTATTTAATTTCTAAGTTAATATCATGATCAGTTCAAAGAGGCTCATTAAGCTGGCCAGAAGATGGCAGAAATTTGCTGCCATCCGAAGAAAGAGGATTTCATTTCCAAGTCTATATGATGATTCAGATAGCTGCAGTATTTCTTCTGCGGGTCATTTCACTATCTACACTGCTGATCAGAAGCGGTTTGTTGTCCCTCTATCATATCTCGAGAATCATATCATTAGGCAACTCTTAAGTATGTCTGAAGAAGAATTTGGACTTCCAAGCGATGGGCCAATTACACTACCATGTGATGCAGTCTTCATGGACTACATCATTTCACTTCTTAGCCGAGGTTTATCTAGACAACTTGTGTCACGCCCCACTTTTAGGACATGACACGGCCGTATCGTTACGTGAAGACCTGTAACAATACTAAGCCTAACCATACATACCTCTCAGAATCTTCATAATAACTCTTGAATATACAATAATTCCACAACCCAAAATTACAAAATATAATCGACTTGTTCTTCCCAAAAACTCATCAAATCCACTATTAGATATTTATAATTAAGAGTAGTATGTCCAAAATGCATCACAAGCACCAAAACCAAGCACAATGGTCTACCAAAAATACAAAGGGTCAAAGGGAAAGTCTAAATAAACAAAAATCCATGATAAGCTCCAAAACTAGGACTAAGTCTCCAAGTTTCAAAAGTCACCTTCGAGACCCCACCACTTGTGCTCGTGCTATTCACATGTCCTTAACTACTCTGAAACATGAGAAAAATACAAATAATGAGCTAATGCCCAGTAAGTGATACTCCTCTCAACCCCGGATCAAGTAGCCCCAATATAATACAAAAAGCTTTAGAGTAATAACTAGATGCAAAACTCAATCCTTAAATTATATCAAAATCATAACATACTTCCATCATACTATACACAAATTCCCAAAACGAAAAACTTTAGCTACATGGGCATCAATATTATTTCATAATACAATACTTTCAAAAGCACCAATCATTCCTTTACCATATGACCCATTGGCAACCTACAACCACCATTATATTCAGTGGCCGCACATGCCATTATCAGTATAATGGTCCCAAAAAGACTCGACGATTCGGAATGAGTCAGGCTTGACGATTCGGAATGAGCCGGATGGAACGTTCCAACAAATAATTCAAAAGACTCGACGATTCGGAATGAGTCAAGCTCGACGATTCAGAATGAGCAATTAGGAACGTTCCAAGCCAAACAAAACAAACAACAAAAATGTAGGTTGCCTCATGAGTTTGATGAAATAATCAAAATAGTTCTTATAATCAAATAGCCCGATGTAGCAAAAATCATTTCCTTAAAATCACATAACAAAGTACATATTTCCAAAATAGATAATAAGTTTATTAAACTAAGAAATATGCAAGGTATAAATCATTCTCAAAATAATAATTTTTTCTTAGTACATAACTCTTTAAAAATTATATAATAGTTTATTAAACCAAAGTAATTTCAAAGGGATTGAAATGGCTTAGGTGGAAAGAACTTAAATTAATATACATGAGGTTAGGAGTTTGAATCTCACTTTAAACAAATAATTTTGCTTTATAAGTTCTATAATGCATATAGAAAACAAACATAAGGCATACTGCAGGCAGAATCGAACCCACGACCAACCACCACAAGCACAGCAGCCATATACCATCAGTACCCATAGTGATAATCTCAGACAGAATTTTAGCTTAATCTTCATTCCGAAAACACAGTTCCAACAAACCCAAACACAATTTTAGTCCAAACTCCAAAATACATAAGAATTCCAGTCCAGACTTTAGCTTAGCTTTTCAAACCCAAAAAAACATATTATAGTCCAAAATATTTTTTACTCATACTAACCCTAAAATGGGTATTCAAAGTAGTAGAGATTCCAAAATAGATAATATATGGGTTTTGCAAAATAAGGAGAGAAGAATTAACCACTTACCTAAAAACATCCAAATCTTAGCTATTAAACTCGCCCAAATACTCCTTGTCAAAATCCCTAATATTTTCAAACATTAATCTTAGGGGTCAAATGATAAACCCAACTCAAAAAGAGTGAAAAAATGGAGATCAAACTCACCTAGAATACTCCCAATAACTTGAGACCTGAGACCTAAACTTGAAGAAGATGGAGATCAAAGCTTCAAGATTTTTCCTTCCCCTATCTCTCTAGTCAATTCTCCTTATCTTCTTTTAAAAGAGATCTTTATCCAAGACCAAGAGATTCCTTAATCTTTAAGGGTAGAGAAGGGTAATTTAGTAATTTTATCTAATATCAAATTTTAATAAGCTTTGACTTGTTGACCTCATTTACTAAACATATATATATTTTATTTATAAGGTTGTGGGTATTACAATCTCTCCTCGTTAAAATAAGTTTCGTCCTCGAAACTTGCATACCTTCAAACTTGAAGAGTTCTGGATATCTATCCTCATATCATCTTCTTTTTCTCATGTTTCTTCTCTTGGAGTATGATGTTACCATTGCACTTTAACAAGGGGATTAATCGGGACCTCAACAATTGTTCCTTTTGGTCAATGATGCGAGGATGTACTTCTTCATAAGTTAAGTCATCTCTAACTTGCAATGGTTGATACTCCACCACATGACTCGGACCTGCAATGTACCTTCGTAGCATTGATACATGGAATACATTATGAACTCTAGCTAGTTGTAGGGCTAGCTCATATGCCAAACTATCAATTCTACTCAAAATCTCAAATGGTCCAATGTAACGTGGACTTAATTTCCCTTTCTCTCCAAATGTCATTACTCTTCGGGTTGGTGAAACCTTTAAATACACCAAATCCCCAACTTTGAATTCCAATTCTCTTCTTTTCAAGTAAGCCCAGCTCTTTTTTCTGTCTTGCAAGGCTTTAATTCTTTTCTTAATTAATTGAATCTTCTCAACTGTGCATTGTACAAGTTCTAGCCCTAAGATCTTTCTTTCTACAACTTCATTCCAATATAAAGGATATCTACATTTCCTTCCAAATAAAGCTTCAAAATGTGTCATTCCTATACTCGATTGGTAGTTATTGTTATGTGCAACCTCAATCAAAGTTAAGTATTTACTTCAACTACCTTTGAAATCCAAGACACAAGCTTGAAGCACATCTTCCAAGGTCAGAATAGTCCTCTCTGTTTGCCCATCTATTTGTGGATAATATGCAGTGCTTAATTTTAATTCAGTCCCCATGGTTCATTGTAAGCTTCTCCAAAATTTTGACATAAATATAGAGTTCCAGTCAGATATTATACTAACAGGTACACCATGTAACTTTACAATTTCATCCACATACAACTCAGCTAGGTCATTCAATGAAGTTGTCTTCCTAATGGGTAAAAAGTGTGCAACCTTAGTTAGTCGATCCACAATAACCCAAATTGTATTTTCCCCATGCTGACTGTTCGGTAATCCAATCGCAAAATCCAAAGATATATGTTCCCAATTTCATTGAGGTATCTCTAGGGATTTCAATAATCCTACAGGTCTTTGGTGTTCAGCTTTGACTTATTGACATATCATGCATCTAGCAACCAAGTCAGCAATTTCTCGATTCATACTGCTCTACCAGAAATTATTTTTTCATATCTTTATACATTTTGGTAGCACCTGGAAGTACCGAGAAGTGAGACTAATAGGCCTCCTTTAAAATATCCTTCTTTATCTCAACATCATTTGGAATGCATAGTCGGGACTTGAAATATAGGGATCCATCATCATGAATACCGAACTCTCTTGGGTCACCCACTTGAATTTTTTTTTTCCCGAATCTTAATCAGCTCAGGATCTAAAACTTGGGCCGCTTTGATGCGATCTAACAATATCGATTTTGTAATCATAGTTGCCAATATCCCTCCTTGCTTATTTTGCAAAATAACCTCAACTTCTAAATCTTGAAAATCTTTCAACAATTGGGTTTGAGTAGTCACCACTATCACATTAACCGTGGAAAACTTACGACTTAAAGCACCAGCCTACCATGTTAGCTGTACATGGATGATAATTAGTAGTAAGGTCATATTCTTTTATTAGCTCCAACCATCGTCGTTGTCTCATGTTTAATTCCTTTTGGGTAAAGAGGTACTTCAAACTCTTATAGTCCGTAAATATTTGCCAAGATGCTCCATACAGGTACCTCCAAATTTTTAAATCAAATACCACAACTGCTAGTTCTAAGTCATGAGTGGGGTAGTTAACTTCATGGGACTTCAATTGTCAAGAGGCATAGGCTACCACCTTATCATTTTGCATCAACACGCATCCTAATCCTCTTCTTGATGCATCACTATAAATAACAAATCCTTATTCCCCATATAGTATGGTTAAGATAGGTGCAC